ATTTGCTATAGACATATATTTTTCGAACTCGACCTAAGATGAATTTCTATTGGTGGTAGGAAGCGGTCTAATATTCACATGTGTGTCGGATCTTAATGCTCTGTGTTGTTTAGTTGCATGATACATCACCACCGAGAGAGCGTGATTGATCTCTCAATGTTTGCGTTAGACATAACCTCTTGTTGTGAGTGATACGTGGGGGTTTTGACGAGTGATTTAGGTTGAGTGCAATTTAGGTTGTGAGCGATACGTGTATCATTCCCAAACCAAACAAATTGATTTGAGGTTTCATAAGATCATAAAATTACTTGCATCTGAAGAGATATTACTTGAAAATGTTCATACTTCAGATAATACAACTAATATGTTGACCAAGTTAGTGTCAGTGACAAGTTCATGCATTGATTTGACTTGTTACATGTTTCTTACTGTTAAGCAAGATGTGTATCTTTCAAATTATCATGATGCAATCTTCTTACATGAAATCTTCATAGGGATTTGATATTCGTCAAGGTGAAGATTGTTGAGTATGACTCATACTATGTTAAACTTCAAATGGATCTTAGGCTCAACTGTTTGTTGTGGATAGATAACTGGGAGGGTTTGGGGCTCCTTGTATATTATTGTCAATTAAGCTCTAGTATAATATATAATACTTGTAATATTATAACCTTAATTGACCTTAATTATTGGACACACTTCTAGGGAGCTATAATTGCTCTATAGTCGTAAAGATAGTCATCATTTGTTGAACTGCATTGATAAAGATCCATTGAATTTGTTGTTTTTTATTTTTATTTTTCTTTAACTTTTATATACCGATTGTTGTTTTATCTTGATATTTTTATAGAGGGATCGCGTCTTTGAACCGAATGAATTGATTTTAGGGTTAAATGCACTTTTGATTCTCTTATTTTGAAGGTTTTTCAAAATTTAATTCCCTTCTGATCTGACCTGACCAGAAGGGGATCACTGACTGCCACGCGTTACTGCCTGCTCACCGGTGTTGAAGAAAATGAGGGGGTGTACCTGCAAGACACTCCGATGCAAAGTAAGGAAATGGGCAGAGTGATCACAAGTACATAAAAGGGTAAGAAGAGAATACCTGACCCTATTGTGAAAGAGGGTATTTATAGAGAGACCCCAGCGCTGGGCCAACGGTCACTTGCGTTTGGCTGGATTGCCAGACCCAACCCAGGTGACTGCTAGGGCTTACGTGGCGTAGTGAAGACGGAACGCGGTCTTTGCCCTAGTTCAATTGTCCCGTGATCATCGGAAAGTGGGTTTGACCTGCTCTTTCGGAGGTGGGCAGTTGGTGGGTGACGTGTCCCCGCGGAGGGGAGCACGTGGAGAACGTTGTGAAGGACACGTTGTTCTGCCCGCTGAGGAAGAAGATCCTGCCCGCAGAGGGTAGGTTCTGCCGACGGGGGCAGTGTCTGGTTGCGCTCGACAAGAGAGGAGGTTCTGCCCGCGGAGGGATAATGTCCTACCCGCGGAGGGGGAAGGATCTACCCGCAGAGGGCCATTGTCTGTCCGGTGGGGATTCTATGCTCGACGGCTGTGGCTCAAGCTGGATTGGGCCTGGCAGAATAATATTGGGTTGGACCTGCCCGCTCAAGCCGGGGCCCAGGCCAGAACACCTTCATTTTAAAAACTAGCTTTTTGATCCATGGACTTTACAGCACTTGGGATTTGAATGATCCCCGTCACTTTTGATTACATGGCAGTGATGATTGGGATAAAAAAAACCTTATTTTTAATAACGTGGCGATGACTAAGTTATTAATTATTAAATTAATTTAATTATTTCTAATTTTATTTATATTTTTTAACTTATTAATCAAAAAATTCAAAGGCACACAGTAACTTTTTAATTCAAAACCTAAAGCATGAATTAGCTTTATAAATATTAAAATTCTATATGAAAAAATGACGTGGGACAAACAAATGAACTCCATCCTTTACGTTGACCCAACCTACGCTCGACTTCTATCTTAACTGCTGTCTGCTACTTTCTTCACTATAAATGTTTTTATAACCATAGTAAGTTTTCTAATTAGTTTATAGTTGTATGGTAACTGCAACGGAGTAGGCTTTATGAACATAAAAATATAGCAGGAGACATTCTGTGAGTGGTTTTGTTGCCTTGTATAGGTATGTAGTGTGTCTTGTTGTGTTTCCAAACTCTCCATTTCAAACAAATCTTAGAGATAGAAAATTCACACTTGTTTACAAATTCTCCTGCTATAGTTTACAATGCAGTGAAAATACTTGGAATTGTCATTAGAAAATACTCCATTCATAACTTGAACTCTAGTTTTTTAATGTAAATTCATTTGTTTTTTTTTCTTTTCTTTTTTCTCTTAGCAGTATTAGTTGAGTTGAATCCATGTAACCATGACTCATAGATTTTGTCGGTTTGTCTCCCGGCTGGTTTTGGAAACGTTGATGTTCTAGAAGGTGCACGCACGCGTTATACGTTGCCTCTAGGAGAGAACAAACATAAAAACTAAAAATATGTTAATCAAGTGTATTAAAAATAACGACCTAATTAATTAAATATATACATGGTGGCACCAACCCATTTTCACTCATTCATTTTCTTAACAACACAATCTTCTTCTTGTTCATCATCCTCAATTTACTCTCCTCCATTGCTTCCTTCTCAATCCAATTCTCTCCCACTTTTCTACTTTTTTCCTCTTCTCTTCCTTTCAAGCTAAGCTATCACCATCTTAGTTTCTTTATTTCCAAAGGTATGCTTATTTTATTTGATCTTCTCTCTTTTCCGATCAAATTGCAATTTTCACATACCTATTGGGTCTTATGTCTCTCCTTTTTCCTTCCAAAAATTGTTTGCGTGCATTGGGTTTTCATCAAGCCTGGATTTTAAATCTAGAATTAACGATAAATAATTGTGAAAATAAATAAATATGTGTTGACTTTTTTTCTTAATTCATCGGTTCCATTTGGAATCATCAACTTTATTTGTTGATCAATGATGATTCTTAGATATATGGTTATTGCTTCTGTTTGGAAATGATCAATAAACATAGAAATTTGATCTATGTTGTAGATTCCATGTTATAAATTATTTTCAGGGACCTTATATGTATGCATAAAAGTTTTCATATCTTAAGAAATCAACATGGTAAATTATCTGTTTATATGATCTATGGACTTATTTTTCAATATCATTAGTTTTTCTTCTTCTTTATATTTGCAATAGAATCATCATAAATGTTGTAGCTTGTGTCATCTGAATACCTGATCTTATTGATTCTACTTCTACATCTAACTGCAGCTTTCTGAAATTTATAAAATCTATAACAGGGTATATTTCTGTAGTAGAAAATTCAATGGAATCTACATGCTTTGGTTCTAATGTGGAAGTCTCACTAAAGCAAAAATGTAAATCTACTACAGAAGAAGAAGAAGAGAGAACAATCTCTAGTGGTGAAAATGGTTGCTTTGATTGTAATATTTGCTTGGATTCAGCAAATGATCCTGTGGTTACACTTTGTGGTCATCTCTATTGCTGGCCATGTATATATAAATGGCTTAACGTCCAAAACTCTTCCGTTGAACCAGATAAGCAACCTACATGCCCTGTTTGTAAAGCTGTCATCTCGCATACTTCATTAGTCCCTCTTTACGGCCGTGGAAAATCAGATTCAGAAACCAGGTCGAATAAACTCCAGGTGGGTTTGGTTATACCTCATCGACCACCTCCGTACAACTTGAATGCTATGTTAACGTCTAATCGCCCGTCAAATTTGCATCACGGGGAGCAGCAGCTCCATCCGAATTATTTCCAGACACAATCGCGGCCGATCCATTATCAGCATTACATCCCTCACCTTTATGAAGGTTATGGTGGCAGTGGATTACCTTATCATGGTGGTGCTGCTAGTTTTGTGAATCCTGTGATTGGTATGTTTGGGGATATGGTGTTGACAAGGATTTTTGGTGTGTCTGAAGCAAATTTGGTTACTTACTCTCACAATGGAAGTACCAGTCCTAGAATGAGGAGGCAGGAGATGCAGATTGACAAGTCTCTAAACAGAGTTTCAATCTTTCTTCTTTGTTGTTTCATTTTGTGTCTTCTCTTGTTTTGAACATGTTGTTGTATTCAGATTGTATAGGCACTTGTCATGTGCAGTCCTGAATATTCCTGTCCTTTGGGATCTACTATAGATTGTGTGTTTATATAGATAGTAAGTTTTAGTACAGTATATCATATGTTGTTGATCTGTTTATTTTGGATAATTATCACACATGCGTGTAACTAAATCAAAGTTTAGGTTCCTTATTTAACGAAAATGCCATTCCAGACACACCCTACATTTCTAAAACATTACATATTGGAGGTGTAACAAAGTAAGGGATCTATTGAAATTTGTGTTGAAGTTGTAATTAGAAGCTGGATCAACTACTCCAGCTGCATTTTGGGCTCGTACCAAAGACTCTTAAATTACTTCTGCTTATTGTTATTCTTTTATTACTTCAACAGATTGTTATTCTTGGGTGGAAATGAGCTATTAAATCTCAAAAACACTATATTCCTATCTACTGAGACAATTTGTTCATACAAACAAGCTTCCCTATTGTAATGTTTAAAGTTTCTACATAACTAATTTGCAGAATGTTATGTTTGAGATAATGGGAAAAGAAAAGTTACGTATTACTCTACTTAAGAAATGAGAAAAGATAATGAGAAAAGAAAAGTAGTGTAACAGCTATTAAGTATTACTCTAGTTGAGCAATGAGAAAAGACAAATTTCAACATGATTCACCCCCCTTAATATTTTAAAGTTCTGATTTGTATTTCTCAACTATTGTTAGTATTTGTTTTAGAATTAAGAGTCTAATATTACTATAAAAGTTTCATTGTGCATCTTTGTAATGTAATGATCACTGTACATGAATGACAGAAACACATTGCTCTAATATAGAGCGAAAACAGATCAGAATCTAAATGAAAACAAATCAACTAAACGCTAAACTTTTTTATTTAGAGACAACTCAGCAATGCCAGCAATAAGATCATCAAGTGGCCCTTCATTCAAGTCCTTGTCAGCAATAAGATCATCAAGTGGCCCTTCATTCAAGTCCTTGTCAGCAATAAGATCATCAAGCAACCCTTCCTTCAAGTCCTTCCCTTTTCCTGAATCAGCAAAATTGGATGGCTCCGTCCTCAAAGAATTCTCTGATAGGGCTTTCTCCAACTGTTTAACAAGTTCACCTTCCTCAACTGGAATGTCCAAATCCCAGACTTTGAAGATATTCTCAGATGCCTCCTCCATCTCATCAGTTGCACAATCCAGATCCCAGACTTTGAAGATATTCTCAGATGCATCTTCCATCTCATAAGTTGCAAAAATATTTTGCTTTAGGTCTTCACTATAAGTTGGCAGAAAAGGATCTCCTTCAAAAGTTGAAGACGACGACAAAGACGGCCCAGTCAGTTCATCGTCTAGAATTACATCAGTGCTTGTTTTATTAGCCATTCTTATCAGCTCAACATTATAAGTTGAAGAACGGTTTTGTAAGCAATTTGCATTAGAAGTCGAAGATTCTTGAATATGTTCTGAAGTAATGTTTTTGTCCTTACTGCATTGGTGACTTTCATTGTCTTCTCTACCATTAACCCTGAATGATTGAGATTGGGAACTGATAATTTCGAACAAAGCATTCCTAAGAGGGGACCAATCACTTTCTGAAATATCAGAATCCTTATTTAGGCAGGAATCAACCCAAGCAAGATCTTCTGAAGAAACTTCATTCTGCTGAGAAACTATGGGATTGAGAGAGAGACAGGAAAAGAAAAACTTGGTTATCTTCTTCTTCAACATCCATTGCTACAAGTTCAAAGAGATACAAGTCAGCAAAAACAATAACACATCATGCCGCGTGTACCAATAAAACATAGTATAGTAACCTGCTTCATTAATATAGCAACCTCAATCAGAACAACAATTCAAAATATTTTCATAAACACAAGAAAAGAAATGTCATCCCAATGACAAGCAATATATGAAAAAACAGATATGCAAATACCACATCTGATGCACGCATTCAGCAATAAAAATTGGGTAGGAAATTCATATCTCTTCCACTAATTGACTAACTAAAGCTAGGATTCTGGTTCCCCAACTTCGAGCACAGTATGCAGTTGTAAGATTTTCTGATGACTAAACTTTCTTTCTAAATTTCCATTTAAAAGGTAAAAAAGAACCTTAATTCACTATCTTTTGCAATCTATAATTGACAACAGAAAGTGATGGATAAGAAATAAGATCATCCTCTAGGGTTCAATTAAGCAAACACATGGCGCGCGGCGCATCAGCCACAACCATGTTAATGTTGTCTGAAATTTTTTTAACAATTACAAGGATCAAAACATAAGCGCCTGCACAATTTAAAACATATTATTGAAATAAGGAAATTGCAATTCTTTGCAGAGTTATTGAGTTGAATACAAAATTGAACAAGCAAAGAAAAAACTAGGGTTTTTCTCCGATAAATACAAAATCAAGAGTTGCTAGGGTTTTGAGAAGAGACGTCTAAAACGATTATGAATTGGTAAAGATAGTTTATGTTCGGAATAATGAATGAATAGAATCTAACAGCCGTAGTAAAATGATAGAATAACACAACTGGAAAAATCAAGAAACAGAAAAGAGAGAGATACATACCTTGTAGAGAGTTGCTTATTTGTTGAAGGTGGTGCATTATTTTAGAGTGGAAGAAACCAATTTTTTATATATTCTGGATTCAAAGGAAAATCCTATTAATATTCTAATGAATTTATAACCGCTGCCTTGGTGGACTGTATATGTTTGTAAAGGGTGCGGGCACAACTGTATAAAGGTGTGGATAATAATGCCCAATCAGATAATAAAAGTACACTCAGGCCCAAGGGAGGTGCTTTCTTTTAAAATCATTATTATGATTATTATTATTATTTTGGTCAAATATTATTATTATTATTATTATTATTATTATTATTATTATTATTATTATTATTATTATTATTATTATTATTATTATTATTATTATTTATTATTTTGTTAGGTGCTTTTTTTATTTATCACAGAGCTAAATCATTATTGATTAATTAAACTTATTTGTTATAATTGTTTAAAGAAAAAAGTATATTTGTTGTAATTCTGTCCTATGTAATTAATTCTCTTCACGGAATTGTATAATTAATCATTCTCGTGATTTTTTTTCATTATTAACAAGATACTAAATAAATTTACTTTAAAGAATAGATCAAAAATTAAACCATAGGATCTTGGCAATAACTATTAATCTCACGAAAGTATAAATAGCACCGTAATGAAAATAGAATAAAAAGTCTTAAATGTTAAAATACAAAAAAGAAGACAACAATAACATAATTATCATAAAGTCATATAAATAAAGCTTTAATTCTTTTTTAGTCTCTTAAGTTAATTTATTGTTTCTATTTAGCCTCACAATTAAAAAAAACGTTAGAATATAGTCTTTTAAGCCAACTCTGTTAGCTTAATAAATCTTTTCTATTAATTTATTGGAAAAACGTTAATGGGCGTCAATGGGACATACTGAGATATTGATGTGACATTTTATTTTTTTTAATTATTATTATAGCGATGTGGCATAGTGGTTTTTTTTTTTTTCAAAACATAAAATTCTGAACTCTTAATCTTCTCTCTCAGTTTCAAAGTTCCAATTTCATAGCCAAAAAAAAAACCTAGCAGTTGCGAAGAAGAAGAACTCGGTAGTTGAAGAGGACGATTGTTGGAATATAGCAGAAGACGATACTTAGCACCTCAACCATTGTCTCATTTCAAGGCCAAAGTACATGTATGAACTTACTATTTTAAAAAGCAAACGTTTAACAATTTTTTCTACTTCGAAGTCTCATTTCTGAGTTATTTGGTGTGATTAGGTCATGAGTGATGATAGGTTTAAGTGTGTTATCCATCATGGGGTGTGTTTGGTGAGTTTAACTTGCAAGGGGTTAGAGGATATTTGACAAGTTGACCCAGATTTTGAAGTTATTTTGAGATCTTGGGTGGGTTAAAAGATTTAGGGTACCTAAAAGTTGAAAGCTTATGGTATTATAATGCAATTGATGATAATGAGCTATTGATGTTGCAAGATGACGCAGGAACAAATAGAATGAAAACGATTGCACTGATCAATAGGAATGTTCATCCATATGTAATGCATCCAATGTATGGGGAAAAGCAAATATTGCCTCTTGAAAACAACGTAGGTCCCAATGGTGTAGAAGATGACAATTTGGAAGATGACTGATCGCGACTTTCTATGTCTAATACAACCTAACTGCAAGTGCACAGTCTATCGCGTAGTACTAATAGATATCGATCCCACAGGGACTCGTAATCAAACTAGTGTTCTCGGGAGTTACTATGTTTAGCTAGGTAGATATTGTTTAAGGGAATAAGATTGTCACTAAAGGGAACTAAGAATGTTTAATTAAATTATAATTGAGTGAATCGATATGCAGTAATTATGTTCTTCGGGGATTTGATAAGTTACCAGTATACGAAATATTTTTCAGAGTTTATTTAAGCAGAAAATGGTGATCTGAAGACTCTCGCCTCACGATGGTTATTGACGCTAATTATAATTCCTAAGGGCCAAACATACGCTTTCGTGTCCCATTCGGGGTTTAAATTATTTTTTGGAAATCTCTAAGTTCTAATTCATTTTAAAGTGCTTTCGCTGTTATTAAAATGAATGACTAGTGTTTACTATCTGGTCTTGCCGCAACTTTCGCTTGTTGGTTCGTACCTTAATTAATTTCCCACTTTCGTGGCAAAACTACTTTTAAATAAGTTCTCGCTTTCGCGACGAAGTTTATTCAGTAAATTAATTTTAAACACTCAGACCATAAACAACTTTTGAAAAGGAAGTTTTCAACCGGTTATTATCAAATCCCTTCCGAATTATTATTACATATCGATTACTTTAATTTAGCCAGACATGGATTTGGGAAAGATAAACATAAATGGAAACAATAAATAATAGCATGCATCATAATGAAAACTGGAATTACTATTAAAATGAGAAACCTGTAAATATTCCAATTGACCTTTGGGCAGATCCTCCACAAATGTTGGCAGGATTCTGGTCTTTGTGCCAATTGATCGTACAGCGGAAATAAGAATTACAGAAGAATCAAAGGAATGCAGAAAAAGAAAAGAGAAACAAATAAGAATAGAAAAACTGGAAAGGTTGCTCTGAAGATAAATTGGCAGCACTTTGTTGTCTGGATGCGGCTCTCTTTCTGAGTTCCCCTTCTTCCCTTTTTATAGAAATGGAATTCTAACGGTTATAACTTGAAGAAGGTGGACTTTGAGGCAGAATTATCAGGGAGTAGTGGTCCACTATTTGGGACTTGGAACTGCTTCTTTCACGTGCGTTTGAAGTGGGGCGTTTTTGCCTGCATGACGGTCGTCACGGTGTGTGATGATCGTCACCCGTGTGACGGTCGTCATGGGGCTGTGACGGTCGTCACAGCAGCAAAATCTGCATTCTGCGCTTTTCATGTTGTTTTCATCCGTTTTCGTCCATATTTCATCTGTGATTGCTTCTTTTCTTCATATTGCTTTGTTTAGACGTGATTATCAAATACCTGCAAAACATCAGACAAATAACACGGAAATAACCCGAAATCGGATCGAAAACAGTTAAATATCAGTTGAATTATGCATCAATATATATATACGATTATTGTGTTATCAAACTCCCCTAAGCTTGAATCTTTGCTTGTCCTCAAGTAAAACAGGAAAAAGTCGGCAAGCACGAGGTAGCTTCTTCGTTCGCAAAGTTGGGAAAAACCGGGATTCTTAGTAAGAACAAAACGAGTACGGTGACGACACTGGATTGCAAGTCTTCGGAGGTTTCCTCCTTATGCAAATCAGTCCCAGTCATGCTACTGTAACTTGGTGTCAAGGTTCTCGTGGCAAGTTCACCCTGTTTGTTCTAGCGCAATCACATTAAGCCCGTTGTCCATACACTTTCATAGCAAGTCGACTTGTTAGTGAATATGATCTCATTTCTGTTTTTGATCTTTTTCATTGATCATAAGCTTATATCATTGATTTTTCAATGAGGTTTCGTGCCGTTGGGCTAAATGCTCGGGTGAGGAGCACCTAACTTAGAAGGAAACGTGTCTTTATATTTTTGGCTATATGGCTTTCTTTTCATGATTTTTCATTTTTTTGGAGATCATACACTTATTTGCATCGGTCGCTCGCTTAGAAGTGTTTTAGGATGGTGCTGACTGCTATTATAAACTACTTGGGGTTGAGTTTGCGTAGACACTTGAACTTTGGTACACGTAGGTAGTGAAACCGACTCGCATAAACCGGAGATCTAAGGTGTCAAGACGGTACTGGTTTTGTTAGAATTGTCGTCTTTCTTTCTCGGAGTTTCAAAACTTGGTTTGAACTTGGGCGCATTCTCGTGATGCTTTTGCTTTTGAGGAACGAACGAAAAATTTTTGTTTACGTCGAATAACGTGGGGATGTTTGCGTAACGAAAAAGAATATATAATTGAGCTTTTATTTGCTAAACGTGAAAATGTTCGAATTGAAATTACGAAAATAAAAGTACAATGGAATGGGAAATAAACGCTCCGCTCCCACACTATCTCAATCAGTGTCCCCACTGATTTGAAAAAATGCGAGAGGGAGATACAACGGAAATGAAAGTACAAAGAAACTGAAAATATAGTAAACAAATAAGGAAAATAGAACTAATCACGGCCTCTGCCTCGGTCACGTCCTCGCTCGCGTCCTCTGGCTCTGACTTGGTCAACTCGATCCTCAAA